GGATTGGCTGTGGCCACTACCAGTGCTGTGGAACCTGACCTATCAGAGATGTGAACTCACACTCGTGAGCACACCTTCGAAGGAATTCTGAATGCTTATGCAACCTTACCTGGTCTGAACTGAACTTGAACTGAAAATTTGACCTGAACCGAGGAGCATAATCTGGACGCTCCCCACGGTTTGTTTCGAACTGGCCGGATTGTGCCGGTAGCGAACTTCAATATGTCGGCTGAAGTTGAGGTCAATCCTTTTCGACCAGGTGGTGAACTGTCCAAAGAAGCTGAAGATATATTGAAAAATTCTACTATTCTTCGGGATACGGTAAATATTCGAGAATGTACCTTCATGACGGGTTTTTATTATTATGTAACATGACTGACAATTTTGAAATTCGATACCTAGGTCAGTTTTACAGAAATGTGGTCGAAGTTTTTTCTCTTACAATTTCGGCGTTGTTGAGCTTGAAGAACCTCATCTGTTTATTACCGTTGTTATTGAACTTGAAAAAGTTTAATTGTTTATNNNCATTTTCCTCACGTAGTACCTGGCAGTATTTAGTGTAATCATCGTCACTTGAAGGGGCTCTTTGGAAAGAAGCAGTCAAATATGCATTGCATAGTCGAAAAACATCCTTTTATTTTCAGTGTTTCTTGTTTTGGAGACAGTAAGCATGGTCTCTTATGAGTCTCCTCGTCGAAGCTCAATGACATGGCTTAGGTGTGCGTATCATGCCACCACCTCTCCAGGAAGTCCTCTGNACATTTTCTGATAGATCGCCACGTCTTACGGTAGCATAATCCAGCGGTAAAGTTACCGAGTGCTTTTTCTCTTGTGTTAGTGCGTGCCCCCTCGTACGATTGTGCCCTCGAATGGGAAGAATTGCCTACAACTCGGAACCCAGGTCTCCGCGGATAACGCGTCTGGTATAGAATAAATCTATTTTGGTCCGCCTGTAAGCTAATGGAAACAATGTAGCTCGCAGGCGTCCTGCCATACAGTCCACCCTAAATACTGTCAGCTTATCTGGTCACGTTCAATCCCCATTTCATCTTACGCTTTTCTTACACCTTTCCTATAACCCTGAGATATCAGCTTCAACGAGCGACTAAGAGGCACAGCCTTGTCTTTAGAAGCCAATGTTAAGGTTCAACACATTTACGGAGAGTTTGTTCTCAAGTTGTTATTCAGGCGTTCACTTTTGAGGCCCCATCAAAAAAGATAAGGATCTGAAACTGACAAGTGCATAGTTAACTTATTCTGTCAAGAATGGCTAGTAGGTTCGATACAGAGACGCGTATCGCTTGTAGGAAACGTCGCTTCCGTCCTGCTCGATACCGCACACGCTATTGGGGTGTTATTTAGTGCATTAGTCCAAGCCCCTAGCATAGTTTACCGAATTTAACAAAAAAGAAGTAGGTCTTCGCAATTTTACAGTCTACCTCTTCTTAAACACGAATTAGTGGTTGATAAGAGCAGTCCGGTCAAACATTTTCACTTACTGTTTACCACAATCATCATTATATGTATACTTACAATCTTTTGGTGGAAAACTATTTGTTACCACCCAAAATCTATTCAAAATCCAACAGTTTGTCAACCAATCTAATTTTAGTTCTTGCTGACTTAAATTTTTCACTCTTCATTCCCAACAGACTCTGCTACCCTCACTGTAACCTTGTGTGACCTCTGCTCAGTAACTGGGGGTTATCTGCGACGGTAATCTCTGGTGGTTCACACAGTTAAAATACTTTAGACTCCTGCTTTCAGCTACGCGAACTCGGGCTATTCCGAATCTCATAGTCAGTATTGTCCTCTTTTCTTCACCAATGAGTTTTTTAAATTCTACTTCATTTTTACCATATAATGTTTCACGGCCCTTTAAAACAAGACTTTAAAACCATTCGGTGTAGTTTGGTGTCAGTTGACTCAATAATCGCAGATCTTATATTTTCACACGTCTAAATCCAGACCGTGCCAATATATATTTTTTTGGCAAGCAAATCATGGCACAATGGAAAAGAAAGACGTTCCATAATTTGCCCGTGGGTGGAATACGCCAGGTTACCCAGGCCAAGGCAGGTTAATTTTCTTGAGGAATCTATTGTTGCCTGATCCTGATTGGCTGTTTTTCTATTGCTGCCTTGTTGAACACACGCTTGACACGATTGATTGTGAACGAGTCATAATAAACCTATCCTACCCTGCGCACATTTGTTCTACTTTTCTAGCGGGTTACGGGTCCGGGACTACACGGTTTGAAATACAAACGTAACAGGATTCACAACCGGAGCCTTCGGCTAGCCAGTCTTACCCGCAAAGCAACGGGGTGGTGTGTGGAAACTGCAATCTATTGGGGACCGGTGTCCAGTTCATCGGATCTACGCCCTTTGGGCGGGGTCAAATGTCCATGGTTCCCAATATACCTTGATGCCCAATCGAGCCGATGACCACTGCCACAATCGAGAAGTTGCGTGTGGTTCGTGCGCCTCTTGGTTGGTTTGGAATCAGGGTTTTTGGCTAACTCCCCTAGGTGACCTACCCTTTGGTCCATCAATCCGGTTATAGCCCCGGATGTCGGCTTTTCGTCTTCGCCACGAGAAGGTAGTGCGTAGGGCTTCCTCAGCAGAGGCTCTTCGGGACGCATGGTCGTATGGGAGCATTCCGCGAGGTGCGAGGGAAGGGCTACCAGCTGCAATCCTAGACACCCACCCCCGACCAATCTAAGGCTTTCGGAGGTACAGAGCATTGTCTGATTTCGCTTAGCGTAGCATACACAGGCGTTCAATTTCGGTTTATCCAATCAAAGGCAAACGTTCGTTCATCAAAGCTATATTTTCAAGGTGCCGTTCTACGTAAACACTTACTGATGATGAGTACGTTTAGTCTAAAGCACCATTATTCATACACTTTCTTCCGGCGGTTTTGGTTACTGTCTTCTGGCTATCCATTTGTTCTGTGTAACGGTTGTGAGACCCTGAAATTACGCGGGGAAAACATGTACCATCTGGAATACCTCGATTGTCGGTGTTTAGTTAATTTGGCTCGGGTTGAGTGGTGAACGCGTGTGAGCAGCTGACGTATGCCGTCGGGTATTCGGTAATGATTCGGTGGAGAAATAGGCTTTGCTGTTTGGGACGCGTATTGCGCATGTCAAGCTGTCCTCTACTTTTGCATTTGCTGTTCCAGGTTGGAGGAAGTCATGTAAAGATCAACAGGTGACCTGTAAACTAAGCATGAAGAAATGCATAGAGGGACTAGGTCGAGTACGTGTCTCCCGTCTTCCTAGTTGGGGTCCAAAAGACGGTGAGTGTTTGGTTTGGACACTGAAAAATGTGGCAGCGAACCGACAGCAGTGGCTTTCTTGTCACCTCTTATTAGGTCAGAATGCTTGAGGATGTGTGGGTACAGTTGGATTTTGCGCTATGTTGACCATAGAGATTCACTTTCTTTTCCACCCTTCAGTTAGACCCAATCCCTGCCCGTCTTACTTAGTGTACATTGTGAGCTTAGCAGCGATCAGTGAAGTTTGTCTTACTGTATTCCGCTATATGATGTTAGTTATTATGATGCTGTTGNTCTTACTGTATTCCGCTATATGATGATAGTTATTATGATGCTGTTGTTCATTTTTTACGAATTAGTAAAGGGAAACGTGGCACGTTCAAATCAGTGTCAGGGTGGAAACAGAATTCCTGAAGACCAAGGTTATAAGGACCATGAGTAGGTACACAAGCACCACTGTTTTCGACACTCAGGTTTATAACTCAGTGTCTCTAAATATCGGTTACACTGATCCCGATGTCTCCATCCAAGGAGCCTAGCGCACCCTGTGTGAGCAAGTTTCATGGTCCGGGATTGCATGCCCTCATGCCAAATCTGTAGTTTTTTAACCCATCACCTACCTCGGCAAGCCTCAACCAACGTTATTTGTAGGGGTCGACCACTTGCTCTAGTGGGCGGCCGCTGTTACCTAAAACTCTACGCCCTACCTCAGCATTGTTTATCCGGTTTTCCCACCAGGACCGTAAAATGTGGCACAGACTGGAGTGTTCGACTACTGTCAATCTATCTTCATCCTTTTACTTTAATAGTCGTCTCTGCACCGTAAAGTAGCGCTGACTGAATTGCGGCAGCATACATTCGACCCTTCACAGAACCGTATGTCGCGACAGTGCCGCAGATATCACAGTCGGAAAATACCAATCGACCATTTTGCATACACTTACTTTTTACTTTTACTTTTGATCGACTAACTAACTCCTGCGGGAGGATAAGTCGGCTTTCTGAATCTCTAATGATGGCGGCCCATGCATGACGATCGGCAGCAAGGTTGACGCAGTGAGAAACTCAGTTCTGGTTCCATTTGCGAATTCCATATACGGATTGAAGACCCAGTAATTCCAAATCCGCCTTGAGCGTGCTACTCCAGGATTTCAGTTGACCACCGAGTCTGCAACGCCATCCACGGCACGGTGCGGGGGCTACAACCTGTTGCGAGAGTTGAGTGTCGGGCCTTGGGAGCACATGGCCAAGCCACAGAAAGCTCCGGCGTTGTGGCATTTTTGAGAGCTTGTCAGTGTTCAAGCAGCGCCATCGAACCTCATCATTAGAAATCCGATCTCTCCAGTTTGCTTCCAAGATGCGGCGTAAGCACCAATGATCAAAGACTTTGAGCTTCCTTGTATTTTGTACCCTCAGGGGCCAGGTTTCACAACCATAAGTGAGGATGGGGCGGATGGAAGCCTGATAAACCCGAAGCTTAGTGTTTAAGCTTATGTCGCATCGATTCCACAACGGTTTGGGGAGTTGTAGGAGGGCTCTTCTAGCTCCATCTACACGGAGTTGGATTTCATCCTTATCCTGGCCGTTTGGTTTTATCGTAGAGCCAAGATACTTCGGTTGATTCAACGGGCTCCCAGTTAATCGAGAGGGGTTGTCATGGTAGAAGTTTCGGTCGAAAATGTATTCGCTTTCGACGTGTTGATCTCTAGCCCAATGGACTGGGCAAACTGATTTGTACGACTGACAACAGGCTGGAGGTTTGTAGTAACATTCTTTTCATTTTCTATCGCCATTCCCGTGATCAATGTTCAGACCCTATTTTTGTTTTATTGTCCTCCTTTTCGGGAACTCTTATGACCTCGANACCTCGACCCTGACACTTTTTCCGGTGAGTTGTATCGTGCGCTTGCTCTCTGTACAATTTCCGCTGCAGGTCACATACACTTCATACGCTCGTACTCGACTTCTTCCTCACTTCGTGCTTGCCTGGGAAAACCTCATCCTAAGCCCGAACGATTGAATACGTAGGCACGTCATAGCTTCAGACCTACTTTTGGTGCTAAAGGTTGTCCATGCTGTCTCCAAGTACAACATCATCTACAAACTCGAGTTTCACAATCCATGTGCCTGGACCAAACTACACTACAGGGTAGTCGATGAGTGCTTGTCTCATTATCCAATCTGCGGTGTAGTTGAATAACACCGGCGACAGAGGACAACCTTGCTCACTCCAGAGCTTAGGGTGAACTCAGCCGATTCTTCTCCATAGGTACGGACGCGTGCCCGGGTTCCTGAGTANAGTAGTATGACTTTAAAAGCCTGATGAGCTTCTCGGGCATCCCATCGGACCGCAATATGCACCACAGGGATTCTCTATTGACAGAGTCAAACGCACCGCGGAAGTCAATGAAGCATGTGGTGCGCTGTTGGAACTTGTAGCGGTGTTCCAGAATTCTACGAAGAGTGAAGATTTGTTCAACACAGTCTCTTCCGCGGCGAACCCCCTCCCCTTGATTCGGGCGAATGTGGGTACCCCTGACGAGTGTGAAGCTATTAAGCAGTATCACTGCAAACAATTTGGCCGCAGTCTCAATCAGGCTAGTACACCTGTAATTTTCGCATCTAAATTTGTTGCCCTGTTTTTTTGACTGGGACTAAAATTGAAGCCGTCCAGTCTTTTGGAAGAACTTCTCTTTCCCAAATGGTATGAAAAAGAGAGTGCAGCGGATTAATCAAAGTTGGTAAGCAAGCTTTGAATAGCTCTGGTGGTATCCCGTCTTCTCCAGGGGCCTTCCAGTTTTTCAGAGAAGTGACTGCATTGATGATTTCTGTCGTGCCAGGTGGGTCGCAATTGATGTCGTAAGTCTCCGAACTGCTTGACATCTGTAGAGAGCCAGCTTGGTTTGATGGTCGGTTGAGCTGCCCGTCGAAGTGTTCAACCCACCTTTGCATTTTTTTCTCAGTTCCCTAAATAAGTTGGTATGTGGTGCTGCGCAACAGTTGTTCCGATGTCTGCCTCTTTCCTGCTGCTACACGAATTAGACGGAATAGCTTTCAAAGTTCCGCTGCGCCGGCTGCAGCCTCCATGCTGTCTGCAATCGCCTTCCAGTATTGTTTACGGTCGCTTTTGGCGGAGCGTGTAGCTTGACGACGGAGAATACAAAATTCAGGAGAATTGATCAGCCGTGCATCTCTTGCCTTTGCGGACAACTGCAGTGCACACTCGGAGATCCAGTCTCTCTTGTGGCGAAGAATCTCACCTAACTGCCCCAGCGCCGCTTCTCTGATGGATGTTTTTAGTGTAGGCCACTGTGCGTCGACAGGTGCTTCCAGCAGCGCCTGCTTTCTCTCAGATCGTTTCAAGAGCGCGACGTTGAATTTACCCGGGAGACGAGTCTTCCGGCGAGTAGTCAAGTGGATCTTGAAGCGGGCGCATACAAGGGTATGGTTTGTACCGTTCCTGTTTCCAGTTTCTGCGCTGCGATAGGAACGGTGTCTTCTGCCGAAGAGGCCCAGCGAGCACGTACCAAAATGTAATCAATCTGGCGTGCCGTTCGACCACCGTTTGAGTGCCACGTGAGCAGATNCACGACCAGCCGGTTAAGGTCAGCAAATGTGACTAGGCGTTCGCCACTTTCGCAACGTTGACCAAGGCCGAACTTTCCCAGAACATGCCGAGTATGCTCGTCTGATGAACCAGTGCGTGCGTTCCGGTGCCCTGCGATAACGAGAATGTCGCGCCTCGGACTGCGGTTCACTGCGTCTTGAACTTCATTGTAGAAGTCGTCTGATGGGTTCTTCCGCATGTAACGGAGCATATACAGCGATGACTCAGGTTAAACGACTTTGCCTTGAAGCGCGCTACGACAATCCTGGGAGAGATTGGTTCCCAGGAGATCATGGCATTGTTGGCCCGGCCACTCACGACGGTTGTTACCCCGTACAAACCGAATTTGTCAGTTGGGCCGCTGTGATGTAACCGGTAGGTTGTGTTGCTATGTGGTACGTTAATTAGTTTTGTGCCACAGTTAGTTAGTCGGACTTCGGACAGACAACAGATGTCCACTTTGCAGTCGTGCAGTGATCGCATTGTGATACACTGGCTTCCTGTGTCAAGCACTGTTCTAACATTCCAGCAGGCTATGTTGGTGCTGGATCTTGTGCGTAGATGATTTAGGTCCCCAGCTTGCTCATCACCCCGGCCACTGGGAGAGCGCAGGGCGCGTCGCTTCCCGGGAACGCCGTAGCATGAATGTGATGTACCGTTGTAAGACGATCCATGATTAAATCAGCGTCGCTCGGCTTTTATTCGAGGGCGCACCTCTCGCCCTTGCACAAGCAAATGCGACCTGTAGGGTAACGGTAGAATTGTTGGTAACCGGTGACCGTTAATAACGGTTCATACGCCTTTCGGATGGCTCTGCGCCAGTCTAGGATTCCCAACGTGTCCAGGAGGTAGCATTCCTCAGAGTTTGTCCTACTCGTAAGAGAAGGCAGGTAGCATACACGGTGAAACTTCATCTCTAATGCGCCCGCTGGGTGAGATATAGCTGCCGATGTAGTAAAATTTGTCTACCTCCAGAGATAGAACGTTGTTGGGAGCTGAACAAATTGAGTCTTGTTACAACATTTTACATGGGTCTGCGGCCATCATCATCATTGTACAGCGTAATCCAGTGAAGCGAACTTCACCGATCGCTGTCAAACTCATATTGCATACGAAGTAAGTGAGAAGGTGCAAGGGGGGACAGGAATTGGACTTAATTTTAGGGGCAGGAAAAGAAATCGAACCTCTATGGTCAATACACAGAGTACACAGTCTAACTGTGTATACATACGATTTCAAGCATTCTTGTCTGATCAGAAGTGACAGCGTGATCGCCATTGCTGTCAGTTCGCAGCCATGACCTTCAGTGTCTCCAACCATGCGGTTTCGGAGTCTTTTGAACCCCATCTCGGCAGACATACTTTACCTTATCGCTCAGTGCATTTCTTCATGCCTCGTCTCCACGTCATCTGCTGGCCTCCACGTGGCTTTCTCCAGCCTGCGACAGACATTGCGAATAAGGCGCGCGGAAGGCGACCGTCGGACATGCGCAAGACGTGTCCTAACCAACGGAGCCTATTGAGTCAAATTCGATGCGATAGCGAGTTTTTGTTCGATGCATTACCAAACACCCGACGACTTCTGAGTTACTAGCCCGATCACTCCATCCCATTTCGGTCAGACTACGTAAGCATCGATTGTCAAAAACCACTAGATGGCGGATGTCTTCTCCCCGGCAAATTCAAGGTCTCACAACCGTAAAGCAGAACTGATCATACAGTGGCACAGTATACGTGACTTTTCAACATCACGTCGTCGCCACAGGTGTTTCAGTCCTGCGTACGCTGCTCGAGCCTTGGAGATGCAGGCGGTTATCTACTTTAATGCGCTACCGTCGTTGGTCACGCATCTGCCTAAGTACGAGAAGCAGTCAACTTCAGCTAAGTCCTGACTGTCTAGTTTCAGAACAGAACTCGGTGACACCCAGTCTTGTAGCATCACTTTGCACTTTGAAGGTGCAAAGCACATGCCGAACGGAACGACTGAACCTGCTAATCTGTCAAATGCTCTTTGTGCATCCTCCATACAATGGAGCAGGCAAACTATGTCGTCAGCGTACTCCAAATCGCACAGCTGTTCTCCAGCTGCTCATTCAATACCTACATTTTGGAGACCACTTAGTGCGCTCTCTAGCATTTCGCCAAAGGCGAAAATGAACAGGAATGGCGAGAGGGCACCCTTGACGAACACCGCTGCTACTTACGAACGACCTGCTCAACTCACCATAGACCCTTGCCCCTACCAGAAGTATGCGAGTAGAGTGAACTCAGTATGTTCACGTACTTCTGCGGCACTCCTTTGCGAAGGAGCGAACCCATAAGGGATTCACGGTCAACTGAATCGAAGGCTCCTTTTAGGTCAAGGAACACGACAACCGTTCGTCGGCCGCTGCTTATGGCGTAGCTCGAGGACTTGACGCAGAGTGAAGATTTCCTCGATACGACCGCGACCTGGTCTAAATCATGCTTGTTGTTCGCGGATGTTTCTCTCCCTAAATGATGTCAGACGTCGGAGTATGATAGAGGTTAGTAACTTGGTGAAGATTGGGATCAAGCTTATTCCACGATGGTTTGCGCGGTCGTTGTAAGATCCCTTCTTAAAAATTGTAACGATCTGTGATTCGCCCCAAGATGACGGGATGCGCTCGTGTGATCAAGTGTCGCGCATTATATTAGTAATGGCGTCTATGAGGTTATCGCCCTCTAGAGTGGAAGAAAGCCAGTCCGTTGCTGCTGCTTTTCCTTTCTTCAAGGCTTGGATGCAAGAACAAACTTCTGCTGCAGTAGGGGGTTCAGATGACACTGCCCGCGGAGCCTCAGCTACACCGGAGGAGATAGCCTGGTTAGCGCCTGGCCAACTGAACTGTTCGGTCAAGCCGTTGTTCCCTATTGTGAATAGCTTGCCCACTTTTGTCGCAGATTGTTTCACTAACTGTGGTTCGCCGACCTCCTGTATTGTTTATCGGTTGAGACAGTCTGACTATTCCCTGATGCAGCCGCTACTTCCATTTCACTAGCTATCGTTGCCCACTAGTTCTCACGATCTTCCTTGAGGCTCTTTTTGAGTTGACGTTACAGACGCCACTTAACCCTGCCTTGATCCCGGGCGGTCGGGATTTGCCACTTTTTCTCCATCAGTGCTACTGAATCATCAGATATCCAATGCCTCGGGCGGGGTACTACTTCAGATCCACAAACAACGTTCACTGCTGAGTGCATTACTCGGCTAATCTGATCCCGTTGTTCATCTACACTACCACCTTGCAGCGCATTTAGCCTTTCCCCTAGTTTTGATTCAAAACGGGCACAAATGGCTGAGTCAGATAAGGGATGATCTGCCAATCGAGTTTGGAATTTTCTGCGACCAGTGAGTTGGAGAGTGGACTGCATCAAAACTAACGCATGATTAGATTCAGCGCAGGTGGTCCAATAGGACCTGCAGTTTTTTTTTACTGAACCACGCCAACGATAGCTTATAGCTATGTGGTCGATCTGAGTTCGCGTGCCAGTTGAATTTGAGCGCCACGTTGCTGTCCGTTGAGAGATAAGTCGAAGTTAGTGCTGAATAGTAACAGATGATGGTCTGCGCAGAATTGAAGAGGTCGATCGCCATTATCTGTTCGCTGGCAGGGAAGAGCACAATGACCGCCTAGGCAAGCTTCCGATGCACTCAGTTTTCCAACTTAATCGTTAAAATCGCCTGCGAGAACAATTATATCGGAGTTTCGACTTTGCTGTTCAGTGATGAAAACCGGTAACCTAAGCCCCGGGACTTGGAGAGGTGAACCATATAAGGCCCCTCTAGGTTAGGTGTGGTATTGAATCGGACGACAGCAAAGCTGCCCACCACCAAAGTTGGGTGGCCGTAGCGGGATTCGAACTTCAGACCATAGGGTCCAAAGCGCACCTGTGACAGCGACTTAACCACTGCGCCACCACCACCACAACTAACTAACTGACCATCTTTCACTGTTGTAATTGAATTGAAACAAGTGCACCATTGTTTGTTCTGAACATGTTTAGCAACGATCGCGTATGCTTCCTGCGTAAGGTTTATTCTATTACATCAAACTCTGTTCTGCGTATCACCCTTTTTCTATCAAGAGAGTCTAGCCTTATTTGATGTTATTCATTGGTTTCCTCTGGGTCCCTTTTCATTTCTAATATAACCAGTTTGGTCTCATTCTCTCCCTCTAAATTATTTTCCGTCCGATTTCCATTACTTTGCAGGTGATTATCAATGATCCGTCTCTACGGCGCCCTAATGGCACAGCGGTCAGTCCCACCGTAACAGACCACAACGGTTCCCCCATCAAACCGGTTCGTCAAGGGGATACACATGCATCACCCAAGTCCAAGGTAGCCCNAGACCATTCCTAACCAGTCCGAGCCGATCACCTGTGAGGTCACTGCATCCTGTGTTCCTCCGGTTGAGGCTTCTGCTCCGTATCAAGAGCCGAAAGTCGAGCATGTAAACATTAAACCGGGACGACGGCCAGCCAAATGCTGTGTACTGGTCTGAATGGTACCATCGATTGATGAAGACATGTGTC